AGTTAAGAGGGAGACTGCTAGAGAATACCAGGGCTACAGGCTAGGCTGGGAAATAAAAAAAAAAACATCCCTTAGGAAGACAGCAACAAATCATTTCTGTATTGTTGCCAAGAAAATTGCACGAACATGTCCATGAGGTCACTGGTGGTTGAGCACAACTCAACTCTACTTTTTACAATGGTGAAATACTCTCCTAGTGCCAATATTTTGATATTTTGGACATCAATCAATTATATGGCACCTCCAGCATGCTTTTGACTAAATTCCTGTCAACTCTTGACTGACTTTGTGAAGTTTACATTGATGAGAAATATTGGTGTTGTATTTTTATATCTTATTTGTTAATTTATTTAATACACTTATATGGCCACTCATCTTACATACCATAAATATGGGCGGCTCATGGCAACAAGAATAAAAGCATGTAAGAAACCATTTAAAAAACCAACATCCAAAAAATGGCACACAGCCCTCATTACTGTGTGATGGGCTTTATTAAAGGTGTTTGAATGCACTGACTTAAATAACTGAATGGATTCTTAACCTCCACCAGAGAGGATTTGTGCATGATAGGTAGAACTTAATGGAAATGTGTTTTTCTGCATTTAAGTTGCTTATTCAATAAACCTATTTTAAAGATAATTGGGTGCAAGTGTTGAAGAAGAGGTAGCTAGAAGTGTTAGCTGTATTGGTCTAACATAGCATCCAGAAATGATCAAGATCTGCAGGAAGGCATTCCTGCTGTCCTCAGAGAGGCACTGTGCTTTCCTGAACACACTATTTTAAGAGCCATTGCCTTTCTCCAGAGCAATTGCAATATGTTATCCCTCTGCCCATTATGTGGCTGTAGAGAAACCAGCTGGCCAAAGACTCCAGGAGAGGATTAGATTGCTTTCCAATATTTCTGTGAATTAGAGCTTAAAGCAGAATGGATGAGTAGGAAAGTATATATGTGTGGAGAGGTTGGCACAGGAAAGACATGTTATATTTAAGTTGGCAGCAGGAATGGCAAGTTATATAAAGATTCTGCCACTACAAAGTCCTTGATGTCTATGCATTTATTCAAGGAAAACAAACATCCATAGCATGCTTTAAGTCTAAAATGGTGGGCAGAGCAATAGCATTGGGGATGGGGAAAATCTATGCTAAATTTTCTTTCTTTCTGCTTTTCCCTCCACTTTTCCAATGCCAGTTTTTCCACTCCCTTACCTGCCTCCTCCCCAATTAATGCTTTAAGGAGGCTTTAAATTTACCAGATCAAAAGCATTCCTCATTTCCAAGGAATGTTTTTGATTTGGTGGATCTAAAGCCATCTTAGATCCACTCACACCTTGCCATTTTTCAGTCCCTCATCTAGCCACAGAGATGGTCTTCCCATCTAAAGTTCTGGGCTTCTGAAGGGACATGAAACAAACCCAAAAAACCAGACCCAAAAAACCAAACCAGCTGTAGTAACCCAGTCCCAATATAACTAAAGCATCAGGGTAGGCTTCAGAACCTGATGCATTTAGCACATCAACTGAAGCTGAACAAAAGCATCCCAAACCTCAGCCATTATTTGAACAAAGTCAGATTTAGGAATGTTCACATGCAAAGTTTCACCCCTACTGGATACAAGAGGAGTACTGTCCCATCATGCTACAGATCCCTGGACAACTTTTCCCATAATTTTCTATATTTTAAAGAGAATGGCTCAATCAACTTGTATGATGTAAATGGAGATCGCTATAAATTTTTACAGCAATGTGGCCCTGTCTCCTGTTGCAACATGCAGCTCAAAGGTGGGGATAGTCCCTTGGCCAAAATTACACAACCCAGGTTTATAGTCAACACTCCATTACATCCAGGAACTCCCAAAGTTTAATTATCATCAGATTGTCAAGCATATCAAGCCTTTACTCAGAAACTTAATGTCTGAAATTAAGCAGAAATTATCCAACATCCTTCAGGCTGGATGAAAATAATCCCTCCTCAAAGGAGCCATTCACCACTTGTCTTCCAGAATTGCTGAATTCCAAAGTAGCATAAATGACACAAAGTATATTTCTCCATTTGAGGCTTCATCTCCAGCAACCTCCAGATTTTGATTATTGAGAATATTGTCTGCAGGTCTGTCCCTGAAAGCTGGAAACTTCAATTAATACAAAACACGCATGCTAGATTACTAACTGAGATTGATTATTAGGACCACCTCAGGGGTGTTCTAACTCTTTTCTTTAAAGCATTATACAGCTTAAGACCTGCCTACATTTGCTTTTAAATTACCCCAGCCATGAGCTGGAATCTTTGGAGATACTCAGGGTTAAGTGCATGTGGACTGGGAAGAAATTCTTATTTTACCTTGCAAGGCTTTGCCTGTTAAATTTTCTTTCCAAGGAGGCTTGCTTAAGCTCTACCTGGAAGCATTTTTTTCCCCTTCTCTATTCTCTTACAGACTATTTGATTACAAGGGATTCTTGCTTCTACTAAATAAGGTAAAATAAGTTGCTAACTTGTAGAGGATCTTCAAGGAAAATGTAGCCCAGAGGCCTCCCAAGGGGCAGGCTGCATGGATCAATGGACCACACAAGTTGATATCAAAACTCCTAAAATTTTATTTTTACTGTGGCCTGACATAGGATATCCTAAACTGGTTTCCTATACAAAGACATTTCCATGGTGCAGTCTAAGAATCTTCAGATGTGACATAAAATAAATGAGTCTATTCAACTAAAAAGGCATGCTGGTAAAACAATTTAATGGATACAAATTTCCAAATGAAATACAAAATCTTCTTAATGTATGGTATTGTTCTAAATTCAACACCAAAAGCAGATGGGTGAAATTGCAGATATATTGTTGAAACATACACCAATATTAGTCAACAACAGCCAGTTGTCTTTACATAATAAAGTCATAATGATAAAGAACAATACCGCCTTGAGCTCTTTTATGAAAAATGGGATGTAAATTCAAAGAAGGAATCAGGCTTTTTTTGTTTAATTCTGCAGGCATTTATGTTAAGGTTTACATAAGCTCATATCAAAGGGAAATTCCTGTATAGTAAGTGGGGCAACTTGTTTAAAAACTGTATGAAAACAAATGTAAGGGAAATTCCGTAATGTACCTGAGCAAGCCATGTTGGCTTGAAATATGTCTACCTTTTTGATTCATGCTTTGTGAATAGAAAAACAGAACAAACTAGAGGTAATCCCCAGTTTAAGAACAAGTTCTGTTTCCAAGATCTGAATTTGTATGTAAGCCGGAACAGTATTATTGAGTAATACCGTATAAGTAGTATGCGTAATTAACTCGAACCATTGTGTATTTGACTGAAATTTTGCTACAATAGGCTCCGTTCTTAACTATGGGTCATCCGTAAACTGGGCATTCTTAACCCAGGGACTACTTGTATTTAAATTAAAATACATTATAAATACACATACACAAGGTAAAGATACTCTTGAGTTGAACTTGATTCCTGGTAATTACATGTTTTCTTTGGCTGCCTGGGGTTTCCTGGTGGTTTCCCATCCAGGCATTAATCAGGTCCATCCCTCTTACTTTCTGAGTTCAACTAAAAGTTGACTCAGTGCTCCATGGGTAAGGCTCTGGACACAATGAAAACAAATGCATGAGTGATGTAATTTGCACTGAAGCCACTTATTCTATCAGCATGATAGTCATTAGTGTCTGTGTGGTTTAAGTATGTCATTTAAAACAACAGCAGCAACAGCCATGGTGTTTTGCCAGACAGCCAGCTATTTTGTCTAAGAATGGGTGCAAAAAACTTACTTCTATGCCAACTGGAGATGCTATGAATAGAAATACTATTTACACATGTACATAAAATTGACAGAATAATTGTGCAGTTTGTTAGCTTTGCAACATCCCTGTGAATTAACTTTATGTCTTTCTCATTTTAAAGCGATGAAGGTGAGAATGAGATGGTCATTTGACTGACAGTGCTTCCTGAGAAGTTGGCGGAATGTTTGGTCCCTCTCTTGGGTCCAGTTATATCGGCATAGGCTTTTGGTGGAATTTGGATTATTTTATTCTCAAGGTACACTTGTATACTGCAAGAGTGAAGTGTGGTGTGCTAACATGTATACAGTCTTGTGCTACTTTTGCTGTTTGCTAGACTATATCCAGTCACTTTTAACACAGAAACATTTATATGGTTATTACATGTGAATGGATATAATCTAGAACACAGCAAAAATATAAAATTAAATATAATATTAGTATTATTATGCTAATAAATGTAGTACTTACTAAGTACAAAAATTAGTATTTAGTAAAAATGCGTGGTACTGGGCAAACTGATTTCCTGTAGCCACAGGGGCACCTAATGAAACAAAAAGCTTAGATAACTGATGTTTTTAGGGTGTTATAGGGCTTTAACATATTTAGGCTGCAATCCTATACATAATTACTGGGAATGACTTCAGTTAACTTCAGTTATGTATGGGATTACAGTTAACCATAGTAGGTCCTAGGCAGAAAGAACAGCAGCATTTTTTTATAGGGAAAAATGGTGTTGTGAATGTTATCAAGTAAATTTCTGCTCAGTAAATAACATTCCCTTCACAAATTCCCAGTGAACAAGCCATATGACAAAGTGCTATTTTAGTAAAAGTTATGCTCTGTTGATAAATTCAAAGGTTGATAGGTAAATCCAGCAACTGCTCTCTTAATATCAGTAGGGTTAATTCCATATTTATACACATGAACATGCACACAAAACCCAAATTGTCCATTTTTAATAATTTGCTGGAACATGGGTATGACTTTAGTAATACTGGAGGGAATAGGCTACTCTGACATTCATGAAGTTTCAAGAAGTAATTGAACTACAGTGAGCAACACTCTTAATATATCCAGTCACCAAGCTTTCCATTTCCAGCCCCACATTTCACAACAGTGCTGACAGGCAAAAAATGGAGCTTTTACCCTGCTAGTTCTGACCTTCAAGTAGAGCAAACATAGAGAATGAAAGTCAAGAGAGATGTTCTACTCACTTTGTCCTTCAAATTTCCTGATGATTGTATCCAAATAGGTGTTCTGAGGGGCCACATGCCCCCTCCTGACAGGCATTTTTAAATTTTTGTTCACATCCAACGGGCAAGAGAAGTTCCGCTCTGCTCAGTAAGATGTTCTGGTTTCTGGTTTGAGTGGAAGGGAGGAAGAAGCTTGAGCTGTGCTCTGAGAAACCAAGGGGCAGTTAGTTAACAGGCCCTTGCCTCTTGTACTCTCGTGCTTGGTAGCTGTGAAGAGAGCAGAGACTCCCCCCTCGTACCCATATCCCTCCCCTAGTTTTCTTTAGTCCCTATCCAATACAATTTCACCAGGGCAGGAGGGGGGGAGTTGACAGAAACACCAGAGGAAAAGGAGTGGGAGTTTCCTTTTTTTTTTTTTTTAATGATGATGCTTAGTCATCACTGTCCCATTCCATATGTGGCTCTCTCAAGGACTTGTCAGCAGCAACAGCTGTTAATCTGACAATAGCCAGCAGCCACCTCCCTTCTCTCTTCTTGGGATCCTAAATAGACGTGGAACCGAAAAAACTCACAGGGAAGAGCTGTCTCTCTGATCTATAATTCAGCGCGGAAGAAGCTGAAGAAAAGATTGGGGCTTGGAAGGAGGGGTGCACGCCTTTGGGAGTGGTCTCCTTGTCGCTCCCCCTTTCTGTTTCTTTAATGCTCGGACGGTAAGAATACGTTTGGAGAGTGATGAAAGCAGGAGCTGTTCTCGGGCTGTGGTGCTGAAGAGCCTGTCCTGGAGAGAATACCACCTGGGTTGCTGGCTGCTAATCCGGGGGCGGAAGGAGAAAAAGCATGAGTGGGAGGAGGGGGCAGTGAAAAGAGAGGGAAAGCAAGAGAGCAAATTTGCAAGGTTTTGCAGAGATTGGTTTGCTCCAGACTACACTTACCACCCTGCTTCTTGGCATTGTGCAATATAGCCACTTGTTTGGGACCAGGAAAAAAGATGGAATAAACAAAGGATTCCAGCCACCAACCACTCCAGAGATAGAGAGCTAATCTGCACTCTTTCACAGTTACCTCACCACCTCATAGACTAGATGAACAAATTAAGTGGAAGACAACTATTGTAATAATGCTGCCATAGGATTTAGGGCTTATACTAATATTTTGCTTGACATATTTTTTGGAAAAACACTGTAACAGGAACCAAGTTTTCATGCAGTTGATCATAAGGATCATAAAACAGCTTTTTAAAAAGGATATCATTAAAATGTTTCCTATCAATCCTGATTATAATAATTGCAGATCATGACTGACACCCTTTCCTTTAAAACTGAACGGTGGTAATAGGCTTAACAGTGGCAGAGATTTTTCAGCTATAAAAAGTATATTACACTGCAAATTAAAAGAAAAATAATTTATATCTTCAGGGGTATGCAGCTTGGTGTCCTCCAGAAGTTTTGGACTACAACCTCACAATCCCTTGTTGTTCACATGCTGGCTGAGACTGATGGGTCCAAAACTTTTGGAGGGCACCAACTTGTCTATTCTACCTCAAGCCCAAATTGCTACAGTTACTTATGGGCCATAATCTTCAGGCAAATCTAAATTACTTCAGCACATTGTAGATCTACTCTTAAAAAAGATTTGGAAGCATCAGCTAAGGCAAAATATCAGGTTATTGGCTGGAGCTATGCAGTGTAACAGTAGTCCAATAAAGATACCTGTCATCTTGCTGCCTGTTTGACTCTACCCTTGAGTTTTAGAAGTAACATCTTTTGTGCCTCTAAAAAGTTGAGACAACCTCATGGACCATCTTCTTTCCACATATGAGAAAAAAAACACATAGCATTGAGTGGGCTATCAAGTTATTTTCCTGGGTTGTGGGTTGCCTGGGGCAGTCTTGTTAAATGCTTGGAGGCATACTTCAGAATCTGTTGTAGATCCCCATTTGTCAAATATTGAAATATTGAACTTTCCATTGCATCAGATCTGGGACTGACAGAGCTTACTAACATCTTTCCATGTAACTCATCCCTCTGAATACAGGCATCTCTCTGACCTCCTGCAATGGCCTTATACCAGGTCACTGCAGAAACTTATTTCTTGGGCTTTTCTTTCAAAGTGACCTTTAAGAAGGAGAAAGTTTAGCTGCAGTTCTTTTCCTCCCAGCCTCACCAAAGTCTAGAAGAATGGCCATTTTATGTCTATGCTTATTTTGTTCTCTGTGGTTTTTCAGACATTAAATTGGCCTTCTCTTCTCTTCTCTTCTCTTCTCTTCTCTTCTCTTCTCTTCTCTTCTCTTCTCTTCAATTTTTGACTCCTGGTGACTGCTTGGACTAGTCCCTGCAATTTTCTTGGCAAGGTTTTTTGGAAGTGGTTTGCCATTGCCTTCTTCCTAGAGCTAAGAGAGAGTGACTGCCCAAGGTCACCCAGCTGGCTTTGTGCCTAAGGCAGGACTAGAACTCACAGTCTCCCAGTTTCTAGCCTGATGCCTTAACCACTACACCAAACTAGCTCTCAGTTAGTCTACTGCTATCTTTGTAATACAGTTAATTAAGGATTCTTCCAACTAATATTTCAGGGCATTTCACAAATACACAAAAAAGGGAAGGGGAGGAAATTCTTCAGATAAACTGCTTTATAGTTAGCTTCATAATGATGTTGCCCTAAGACATTTGGATAATATCAAACTTAGCTGTTCAACAGTTAGATCCTATCCTACACCAAAGAAAGAGGATTTATGCCATTTGAAGCTGGGATTATATTTTGGATCAAGCAGATTATCTGAAAACTATTTTCTATTACAAAAGATGGCTGAACAACAATTCATTGCTGCTTCTTTATCACAGCAGCCTCAATAGCTGTTCTAGATGCAGACTCTGATTGTCTTCACAAACACAAAAAAAATCCTAAAATGTTTAACACAGAATATTATTTCCTTTCTTGATAGTAGAAGGGGCATCTTATACTGTAACTATCTGTGATTAGGTGATACCTTATTGGAATCAGCTAAAATGGTTTGCAATTTTTCAGGTTTTCCTATATTCTTAATCAAGCATGATGTTGCAAAAAACAGTGGGGTGGGGGTAGCCAATCCCCTCCTCAATTAAATCACATGTTTCAGCCAAGACATCTTTGGTTCAAAGTCAGTCTGGATAGAATTTTAGTCTGGATGTATTTATTAGTGAAGAGTATCATAAATGTCAATTTATATTTAGCACTCAAGGGGAAAAGACCATAGCTGCTAGTTCAGGATGTGAAAATATTAAACCTACCAGTTTGCACTCTTGACTTTTCCTAGAGTTGAAGCTCATATTTATGTTCGCTTACTAGTACAAATTAGGAGAACTAAATCAGAAAAAAGATGCCAGTGACAAAAGAGTCATAGATAGCTGAGCTCTCAGTATGACAGCTTTGTCCCAAATTAATAAATTTACTAATCCTGTCTCTTTAAATAATGAAAGAACTGAAGAAAGGGTGAACCATCAGTACTGCGTGAGATGATAAATGACTTAGTAAATTAGAAATCTTGGGACAAGCTAGATTAACTAGCTAGTATTGTAGAATTATAATAATGTCCTACCCTTCACATTAGCTCACTCTATCAATTTTTTGTTTTAAGTTCAGAAGTCACCCTGTGTTTTAATGGACTGTCTTTTCTACGCAGGAGAATATTTAATTTGATCCCAGAAAGTAATCTTCACTCAGAAACAGCCTGGCCATTTCAGAAAATAATAGGATTCTTGTGTTTCATCAAGTCCTAAACATTAAACTGCTTTTCTGTGTAGAACAACTATTTTTCTTCTGTTACTTGGTGATAAGATAGAAATATCTTATTAACTAAGAACTGGAAGTTCATACTATACAGAAAAATGTTCCAAATCTTTTTCTGAATGAGAAGTTTTGGGAGGACAACATCTATTGGGAGACAAACTCTGCTAAGTATGGTCCTGCCAGGAAATTCATGTCTTGCTGACAACTTTCTCCTTCAGAGATTAAAGGAAGGCACAAGGGAGCCCCTGTCTATAATTTGGTATTAATCAAAAGGGGAAGACATAGTTTATGAAGTGGAACTGAACACATACGGTGATCATGTAATGCTGGAGTTCTTGATGTTAAGGGAAACTAAAACTGATTTTATCCAAATATGTATATTTTGTTTCAGAAAAGCAGACCATAATAAATTCAGGACAATTATAAGGATTATATGGCAGGAAAAGCAAATGAGAAAAAATTCTCAAGGATGGATAGAAATTCCTAAAAGAGGAGATGCTAAAGGGCCAATCTGCAAACAAACAATTTTAAGAAGAAAATATTTTGTGCAAGCAGCTACAGAAGAAGCTTAATGAAGATCAAAACAAAAGGGGGGTAAAAAAATGGACACCATACAGGACAAATACAGAGAGAACATCTCCCCATTTGCACCTAACATGCCTTGGCAGGATCTTTTTTTCTGTTCTCCATCTCCATGATATTGCCTTCATCTCATCCCCAGCCCATGGCTGAGACCTTAAGGAGTGGTCCTTAGCTGTACTGGTGTACAAGCAGCATTTTCCCCCTTTATTCCAAGGTTAACAAGGGCAGCCAACAAGTCTGTACACAGGTGAGACTTTGTCTGCCTGGAGGGAAGTCAGAAAATTAGCAGTGTCTGGGAACAGAGGTCATAGAGGCAGGGGAAGGATTGGCCATGGGGACAAGAAATGTCATTCCAATGTAGTTTGCTGCCCACTCAAAAATGGATGGGTAACATTTTAGCAGTGGGGAAAGGCCAAGAGATAGCTTGGAATTATGAAGAAGTGTCAGAAAACTTAATGTAAAAAACTAAAGTAAAGAGAGGGCAAACTGCTAGCCGTTTTACTGCTCATTGAAGACAGCACAGCACTTGTGAAAAAGGTTCAGTATTCTCCAACATGAGGATATTTTTTCCCCCATGATGCAGTTACGAAGAGCAAAAGGTAAAGAAAGAATTTAAGTAATGTAAGGCTGAGATTGAGAGAAACTGAGTTAGGAAATACTTATTTACTTTGAGTGTAAATCTCCAGGACCAGACAAATTGTATCCTGAGTTACTGAAGGAACTTGCTTATAGTCTAAGTGAACCTTTATAAAACTGTTTTGGAAAATCCTGGAGCTGAATGAAGTGCCAGATGTCTGGAGGACAGCAAAGTTTCTGTCTTCAAAAAGAGGAGAAAGCTTGATAAAATAAGCAGTTTAAGAGTGATAACTGAAAAGATTCTAGAGCAGATCATAAAGAGATTGATCTGTAAGAATCTTGAAGACACTCAAGTTAGCATGGATTTATCGAGGACAAGTTTTTCCTCATCTCAATTTTTGATTGCA